CCCAGTTAGAAGAGGGATTTTTTTTCATTCTTAGGTACCTGGGAGATCTGCATCTAACTAAATGATTATTTTTCAAATAAGACCTTCCTTTAATTTAAACTGTGATGGTTGAAGTATTGGGAGGATCTATGAATTGAATGTTTCTCCAAAAACTAAAATGTGTACAAAGTTATCTTAGAACTGAAACCATTGTTCAAAACTGACAAGATTTTGAACCAGCCTAACCATGAAATGAGACATGACCCAGATACAGATGACCACAGTAAAATGGGCTGTTCTCAACCCTTCTTGTCAAAGAGCCTTGAGTCCTCCACAGAAAAGCAACTTCCAGTCAGTGCAGTGCAATTGCTGGTCTCATTCATCCAGATTCTATAGAAAACCACACCACAGGTTAAGAAATGCAGGCACAGAGCTGGGGATTTAGCTCAGTGGTGCCACGCCAGCCCAGCAAGCGCAAGATCCTGAGTTCTATCCCTGGTGGTGGGGGAGGATATAGGCATACAAAGAACATGAGCAGGCATTTCCCAAAAAGAAATACAAATCACCAATAATTATGTATAAGAAAGAGACTATTTAAAAAGTAGTTCATTAAAAAAAAAGGGAATACATCCATACAAAAACCTGTACATGGATGTTTATAGCAGCATTGTTCATAATTGTCTCAACTTGGAAGCAACTGAAAGTCCTTCAGCTGATGAACAGATAAATAAACTTTGGTACATCCAGACAATGGGATATTTAGTGTTAAAAAAGAAATGAACTACCAAACCATGAAAAAATATGGAGGAATCTTAAATAGACTAATACAAAAGAATCCAATCTTCATATGCTATCTACTATATAATTCCAACTATATCATATTCTGGAAAAGGCAAAACTATGGGGACAGTGAAAAAGATCAGTGCTTTTCAGAGATTTGTGGGGAAGGAGGGATGGAGCGGCAAAGCACGTAGGACGTTTAAGGCAGTAAAAATACCCTGAATAATACTATAATAATAGCTAGACATCATTACAGATGTGTCGAATATATGCTATATATTTACTATGAGGAGGCAGATAAGCAAGACTCTTTGTTGTTGTTGTTTCTTGTTTGTTTTGCTTTGCTTTTTTGAAGCAGGGTCTTGCTATGTAGTTCAGATTGGCCTTGAACTCACTATGTAGCCTAGGCTGGCCACAAACTCAAGGCAATCCTCCTACCTCAGCCGCCCCAGTGCTGGGATTACAGGTGTGCACCATCACATCCAGCTAAACAGGACTCTTTT